GACAACAGCATTAAGGGACAAGTTTAAAATGCTGTAGTAGAAAAACCGTAAGAAAGCAGCTTGACAGAGTCTGAGCATCTCCTCAGCTTCAAAACTCAGCACACAGACAGACAGTAGCACACGGGATAAACCAGAGACAGCGAGGCACAAACTGGGAGCAACAGGAAGCACCGGGGGAACAGGACACAGAGTCTCTCGCACCGGCAGTAAAAGCAGAGCTGTTTTAGTTGTGATGATGTAAGTCCCTAAATGAGAAAAAGGTTTGTGAGATGAGGTAATATCTTTTATTAGACCGATTGAGATAGCTGGAAATAATAGGCTTGCTTTGGGGCACATAAATCTTTCTTCTAAATTAAATACACAAGCTGAAAACAACTACTTGGACCTTAACAATTTTATGGCAAATTGTTAAGTCGCTCCAGAGAACATCTAGGAAATATGTCCTGTGGGGAAAGCCTGGATTCACTGTGCTTGTTTTGCCTGAGGAGGAGAATGTTATAAGGAGAGACACTGTCAGTGTTTAAATACACAGCAAACTGCTTTCCAAAAAGGAAAAGGGCGCTCCTCTGTGTCCACTGTGGGCAGTTAAAAGCTTTACTTAACTTGGGACCATTAAAAATATCTCCTTCTGCCCATGCTATTTAATCTCCAGGAATGCAGGGTTTGAACAGAATTATGATATTCTCTACACATTTGGTTAAGTCACACTCCTTTTGTTCTTTTAAGTATTTCCTGGTAAATTAATTCCTTTGATCCCTACTTGCCGGTCTGTCTTAGCACAGCTTCTGGCCACAACTGCCCAAACTGCCTTTATAGCACCAACTTCAAGGACAGATGTCAGAAGTCTCCTCAATCTGTGACGCCAAAGAAACCTACAATCCAGCTTTTGTTCCGAGCCTTTCTGAATTCTCATCTACTACACCCACTCTTGACCTTTTTCGAATTTTTTTTTTTCCGAAAGAAAAACATGACGAATTCAGTTTTCGTTAGAAGCTCACAATGAAAAAGCAAAGACCACGTTTAAAAAGGGAACTGGTACCAGCACCAGATCAACACCTTTGGGAAAGATCCCCACAAGCAGCAAGAATCACGAGCTGTTTCAGAAAGAGGTTACTCACCTCCCTGTTCTAAGATACTCTCATTAAGTCACAGCACGTGAAAGCAAATCCTGACACAGCCCTGGGCAGAACCAGCACACAAATCAAACTGCTCACAGGGCAAGTGCTTTGTTTGCAATCAGCATCTTGTTAGTCTGGGGGTGCCCACACTGCCCAGCATCTGTTATATAAATGCAACTGCAACCCCGACTGAATTTCTAGGTATTGTTGTAGTATAGACACGAAACTAGGAAACAGAAACAGCAGCACTTGAGAGTATTTATTCTGAAAAATGCACAAATGTTTACAGATGCCATAAAATGGCTTATAAAATATTTACTTAATTAATTCAGTAGGTTTTTCCTTATTCTGTGTGATGCAGTGTTTGCAGTGATCCTGTCTTTGTCAGTCTTTATAAAGATGAACGGAGTTCATTGGAATAAACTCCTTTTTATACAACATTTAGCAGAACACTCAAATATGCTACCAATCAAGATCAAAAGGATCTTGAAAATATTTACTATTCTACATAAAAGGGTGAGATCCTGGGATACTGGCAAGGAGGATGGCTTGCACCCAGGCTTGTTTTATATAAATGACACAAATAAAAATGAAATCTTGCAACTGGATGGACAGCAAGTGTAACTTTTGAAGTCCCCACACATCTATATTTGGCAGTTTATGGGCTGGAAGAACTAAAAATGCTTACAGTAGAAAGAGCATCCTCTTCTTTTTGAAGAGACACAAAGCAAGGTGGAAGAGAGACCAGGAGAGTGTGTGCCTGTTTGCACCACATTGCACAGATGTGCTCAGCAACGTCACACACAACGTGACAACACTTTAGAAAAGGTTGATTTCTTTGAAAATGCTCTAAGAGCACAGCACAGCATGTGCAGCAGGAGATTCCTGCTACTCAGATAAGCTGATTTCAGTAACAGTCACTCATTTTAAGTGTTATTTTTTCCTGTGTTCTATCCAACTGCCCCTTTAAAAAAATCTCAGGTGGAATTCATTTTAAACTCACTTATTACCCAAATGTGATGTGCTTCTGCACTGGTACCACTAAGAGCTATTGGCACAAACACATAAAAGCTGCTGATTTACTGCCATGGACCAACTTCTGATGCTACAAGAACAGCACTGTGCCACCACAGAAGTTCCCAGAGCACCATCCTCTGGAGCTCAACATGCACGTCTGGTACTTCCCCCTCTCAGTGGGGGGAAGCAGAACTGGGAGTAATTCAGAGGAGATCAAAAGCATCAAGATCTTCTCATAAGGAAGCCCTAAGAAAGAAAAGATGCTTCATTTTGGAAGAGATGCCACAGGTAATAAAGTCACCAGTGGCTTTGGATGGAGAAAACATGAATTTTCACTGTCCATCACCATACAAGAGCATACCAAATAGAGCTCAGAGAAGGCAGGAACAAAACAATTTGAAGGAGGTAGTTTCTTGCAGCAGACTCTGGTAAGCTGTGAAGAGCCCTGGCCATGCAACAGGGGCACTGTTTCCATCCAGCTGGTCATTGCTGCTGAGTTTGCAAAGAAAACAAAGATTGTAACAGCAGCTGTACAACTAATAAAGTTGCTACTGGTTGTGACATCCTCACAGACCTTAAGAATGCAGGAGAATCTCTGACAGAATCTACACGGGAACTACACAGGTTTTCACTCTGAAGCAGGGCTCTCACACCTGTGATGTTACTGCACTGCAGAGACCTCCTGTGAACAGAGGTGCTGCCTCAGAGCTGTCAGTTCTGCACAGAGAACAGCGAAGGTGACCGAAATGCTTGTAGAAACCGAGGGCATCACTCTGTAAGCCAGTGAGGTCTCTGCAGGAATAGAGCTGGGAGAACTTCCCTGGACCATTCTGAGAAGCTGGAGGTCACCTCCATGGCATGGAGTCATTTTTTCCTGTCAAACTGTTCCTCCAGCCTTCTGGCACAAACGTACCTGAGGCTCTGCATGAAACGGTTCATGTGTTGATGTCAGAGACCGATGTGCTTTCGATACTAAATGTGCTTCTACTGCAGTGCCAGCGGGTTGTGTGATGCCCCACGAGCCCCCAGCCCCACGCAGCTCCCGCCACACCTCGAGACAAGCCCGGCAGAGCGCCCCGTCCTTCCTAGCCTGGATGTGCAGCAGGAAAGGCCCCGTTCCTGGCATACCACTTCCCCCAGGGACCGCCTCAGCCCAAAGGTGGCAGTGGGGACCACGCCGGAGACAGCAGCAGCCGGAAAATCCTGGACACCAAACCGGCCCTCCCACGAGGCTCCTGGCAGGGCCGTGGCAACCCCGGGGATGCCCCTGGCACTGCCCACGGGGCTCTGCATGACCGGGGGTGCGGGACCGGACCGGGCAGGGCTCACCTGACCTCACCTCACCTGTGGGACAGGGCAGGGCTCACCTCACCTCACCTCACCTCCGCCCTCACGGGGCTGGACGGATCAGGCCACACCTCACCCTCCCGGCCCACCCGCAGTTTGTCCCACCGAGACTCCGGGCCCCTCCCAGCCCCGCGCCCTCGGGCAGGGCCGTGCCCCCCTCAGGGCCCGGCGGCCCCGGGGAAGCGGAGGAGCTCAGGAGTCCCTCCCGCCCTTACCTGTGCCCGGCCGGGGCCGCCCGGGTTGTCCCTCCTGGCGCATCCTCGGGCCGGGCGCGCTCCCGAGGCGGCCGCGCGCTCCCGGGGCGGCGCCCCTGCCCCGGCCCGCGCATGCGCGACAGCCCAGCACCGCCCCACCCCTCCGCCGGGCAACGGCTTGAAACATGGCGGCGCCCAGGGTGGCTTCACCCACCGCGTGAGAGGACAACCAATCCCGCGGCCGGAGAGCTGCGGAAAGGCGGGATGGACAGCTCTAGCAGCCAATGGAAGATCAGCGTGGAGCTCGTCGTCCCCGCGATGAGCGCTCAGCTGAAGGGCTTTGGGTTCCAGAGCTGGTTGCGCTCTGGGCTCCAGGTGTGTCTCTGTGTCCTGTAGCTGTTTGATTTGTGTGCTGGTTCTGCCCAGGGCGGCCACTCCCCGCTTCCTGACGATTCTCTACTTCAGGGAGACCGGGACACCTTCAGTCTCTGCAGCCACGTCCCGCTCGGTGACCACCAGCACCCGGGGCTCTCGTGCTCAGCCGCTGGCTGCGCCAGGCCCTGCTGTGTGAGGGCTGTGGGCCCTCAGGTCAATGTGTCAGCCCCCCCGGCCGCCTGGGCAGCTTGTGCTGTGAGATTCCCAGGAGCACTCTGGGTCCAGGGAATCCGTGTCTGTCCGTTGCTCACAAAGGAGCTTTGTTAGAGACAAGCCAGGGGCAGGATCCTGCTGGGCAATGGAAGGTGTGCTTTTGGAGACCCTGGGGAGGGCAGAACACCAACACCTAAAGAAGAGTGCCCGTACAGCCACCACAGCCCTTCTCCTCACACTGCTCCTCATCCTCTCCCAGCATTGCACAGGAGGCTCCTCACTGACTCCCAGAAGTTGGGAGAGGAAGACTCGGTGACAGGACGTCAGGCAGGCGCTCCTGAGCACCTTCTGTGTTTCCCAGGTTCACTTCAAGGCAGTGGAGAGCTGCTGAGGAGCTCTGCAGCCTCCCTCCTGCTTTAGACATTGTGTAGTGCCTCGTGTAGCCACTGACTGACACAAGGCATCTCATGTGTTATTAACAACATTGTCCTTTCCTGCTCTCCTTTTTCCTTGGCAGCTTCCTGGAGTGTTGCTGTGGAGCTGGAGAAGGGGTTCTGGTAGGAGAGGAGATCTGTGGAGTCAGCAGAAGGCAAGACATTAACCTTCAGTTCTGCCAGCACTGCAGTTGGGAAGACTGGGAAGGCACTGCCCCCTGGAGAAGGTCTTGCTGAGCCCGTTCCTGGGGAGATGCTCCAGATCCATCAGAGAGGAGGAGGTTGTGCATGGGTAGGGCTCATGGTTTTTGCTATCACTGACTTGGTCTTACTGAGCTCTGTTAATGACCTGCTCATTTCCCCACTGTCCTAATTGGAATGTAGAGAATTCTCCTAATTGAGCAAAGAATCCCACTTCCTAAGGGCAATCCAGGCAAGGCTTGTACTTATGTGCAGTACACCTGGGTCAGGATGGCTCCTGTCCATCCTCTGCACCAGAGACTTTGGAAGGTGACCGCAGGGATTGCCTGCTCCAGGATCTGTGGATCCACCATCTCCGAGATATGTGGAAGGGTTCACCTCATGTTCAGTCACCTTCATCAGTGCCAGCAAATGTGAGAACTAGAATAGGAATGAAAGGGAAGGAAGCAACAAGTACGTGTTGTTGTGCAGTTGTGAGGTGAGAGGAGAGGAAGCCTCCAGTGCAGAGAGGAAGTTGAACATCAGAAAGACTGTGGGAAGAGATGAAAGAGTCGGGAGGGGAGAGCAAGAGAAAACAGAGCCTCTTGCTTCTCATTCTTGTGGATCTTGTACCACAAGAATCTAGTTTTCTGACCCCCTCATTGGTAAATACCCTGCTGATGTTGCTGTTTCCTCAGGTGAATTGTTTTCCAGATGAGACCTCAGCTGTGCTTCAGCCTGGACATTCCACTGGGTGGTGGAGAAGAGCTCCAGTGCACACCCTTTCCCCCAGGAGACACACGTGGCTGGGCTGTGTGTGCCTGGCAGATGTAGGGGCTGGTTACTGTGAGGGGAGTAAATGGCAGGTGGGAGCAGGTTTTGCTCTGAGCACAGAAGAGGAAGAGTGATGGCAGGCAGTAGGGAGCAGCAGAGATTGTCCACATGGAGACTGGGGACACAGAGGGCCTGCACCTGCTGCCTGTGCTGCCCGTGTCCCATTGGTGGCAGAGGTGACACAAACTGTCTGGCCTGGTGGGCATTCCTGTCCTGGTGTATGTCCTGCCAGAGGTGACAAGGGGACACAGGGGGCTGCCTGCAGCACTCTGTCCCTGCAGGGCAGGAGCTGGGATCTGGGTGCTCATGGCCAGAGCAGGGGGCAGGGGGCTGCAGCAGTCCCTACCTGGCTGGGGCTTGTACATCCCACAACCAGAACATTGTGACCAAGCCCATCCCCCTGTTGAATTGGGTGGCTGGGGGCTGGCAGGGTGTGCCGGTCCCCCCCACCTGAGCTCAGCAAGGACACCAGATGGGTGTGGACATCACCCCGTGTCCCCCTGTGACGGCAGCACTGCCTCCTCCAAGGGCTGCATTTCCTGGTGTAAAACAAAACAGACTCAGTGGTGCTGTAGGAAACTGGGGAAGCCCTTTTTCCCTTCACCTGCCTGTGCCAGCTGCAGAGAGCTGCTGGGCTGGGCCCTGGAGCACTGAGAAAGGGCCATCAGCAGTTCCTGGATACATTACTCGGGGCTCAGGGCCAAGGGTTTGTGGTCAGGATGAAACCGGAGGAGGAATCAAGCGGAGTGGAGATAAGAATTGGGCTGAAGCAAGAGAAGGGGAAGAGAGGGGAAGCCTGTGAGCACAGAGAGAACTGTCTGGCTGAGTGTGAGGAGGGGAGCTCCCGGCAGGGCTTCAGCTCATCTCAGCTGAGCAGTGACCTTCGAGCTGCAGGAGAGACGGGAACCTCCTGGCCGATCCCACCAGGCACCCAGCATCATCACCACGAGGCTGTTGGGAATCATGGAGATCCAGCTGACCAGTGGCTTTCTGTCCTTGCTGTTCCTCGTCTGGCTGCCAACTGGTGAGTGCCCCTGTGCTCGTCTCTCTGCTCTGAACTCTTCCCTTTTTGCATATGCCTGCAGGGAGGTTTGGGAAGAGGCTGCTGCTGCTTTTTCCTCTTCTCTTGCAGCATTCATCCCCCTCTTCTGCACCCTCCTTGCAGAGGGATCCCCCCTGCAATTGTGTGTGCACAGGCTGTGAGCTCTGCCCACGGGGACCCAATATGTGCCAGTGGTACATGACCCCGCAAAATCGTATATGTGACTTGCATTTCAGTTATGACTTTTGGTTCTGTTTCCTCCAGGGACAGTCAGCCAGACAGAAAACTCAGGCATCACTAGGCAGTGTAAACTTGAAATTTGGTCAAAGAATCTCATGGTACATGTGAACTGGTACGAACCTAAAGGTCTGGAGAGGTGGAATCAAACCAACACCACGGCTCAGGGAGAAAACTGTACGAATCTCATCAGCCCCTGCATGAGTGCAGCCCACATGGGAACCTGTGAGTTTAGCATCTCCATCACAAGAATAAACTCAACAGACATTGGAAATGGCACACAGGATACAGTTCCCAGTAAGTGGCAGTGGGTCTGTTTTCATGGGGGTGATGAGTGGGCAGAGGAGGCTATGACCAGCGCTCCCCTGGTTCCCCCATGCACCATTTCCCCTGAAAACATCCTGGGAACTGGAAGGGCCAGCCCAGCACAGCCCTTTTGGCAGCTGCATCTCACCATGGAGCTGCTGGGCCATTGGTTCCTTGAAACAGGACCTGCCATATCCTCCAGCTGCAGCACATCAGCTGAGTGCTGAGGTGGCTGGAGCTGCAGGGGCAGGAGCGGGACAGCCAGGGCCATGGGGTCCAGGTTCCTGCCCCAAAGCAGGGCATGGTGCAGGGTGTTCTCTGCCTCTGGACAGTCTCTCACTCATGCTTCTGTCTTTCAGGGTGTTGCCTTGCAGGACTTCAGACCAATGTCACAGAGAAGATCTGGACAGGTGTGTCCTCACAACCCCGGGGCTGCAAGAGCGAGGGGCAGGAGGAGTCTTCAGGGAAAAAGAAGGAGGAGCAGTAAGGGGGAAAACATCCTGATGTTTTCCCATGAATGGGTGGGAGCCACTGCCAAACCTGGGTAGGCACCAGTGGATCAGAGGTTGTGATCCTGGGAAGGGGCTCTGATGCTCTGTCTACCCCCTGTCTGAGTTCAGATGAGATTTGCAGACTGTTCCCTGCAGAATTTTGTCAGTACCCCGGGGCTGTGGGTGGCTCAGGGTCGGGAAGCCCAGGTTTGGAAAAGAACCACCCCTGTGAAGGAGGCGATGGCAGCGTGTGTGTCCCTGCACAGTGGGATGGTGGCTCACGAGTGCCTCTGTGGTGTTGTGTGTGCAGGACTCAACCTCTTGTGCATCTCCTTTGGCTTAGCGGTGGGGACACTCATCTACACACCCATCCTTGGCTTCCTGCTGTGGCAGCGCAGAAGGAACAGAACAGGTAAGGCTGGTTGGCAGCTCCTCCTCATCTGCTGCTCTGGACAAACCCAGGCTTGGGAGATGTCCATCTTCAACATCCTGCTGCTCCTGCTTGCTCAGTGTTCCCTTCACAAGTCTGTCCTCCTGGACAAGCTGTCCTGGGGTGGGGAGAAGGTTCAGCCCCTCCCTCCCTTCTGGCCAGTTGCTGGTGGGAGCCCAGTTATGGCACAGGCTGTGGTGTGAGACAGCTCTTGCATATCACCACATTTCTAGAAGTGTCCAGCTCAGAGCTGTTCTCCAGCCTCTCCAAGGGCTTTTAAGCCCTTTCCAACCTCTCCTGCCCCTTGGTCATCTTCTGAGCCAGACAGCTCAGACAGCCTCATCCTCTACTACAACAAAAGCAGAATCAGTGCAAATGTGTGCTTATTTTTTTCCTTATTTTCTTAATTTAAAATAATTATCATTGTCATTATTTTAACTGCTATTTAAACTCTGTTTTGTTTTTCAGGAAAGATCACAAGTAGGGAAGTGGCAGAAGTGGATCAGCTCAGCAGGGTAAGCCAGGGGGGGCTTTGCACATATCACTTCTTCCTCCCTGTCAATAAAAGCACTGGCTGTTGAATACCCACTTAAAGGATTTCAGAGTAAAATCAGCTTTGCTTTCTCAAAACATGGTCCTAAACACTTATTAATTCCCATTAAATAGGGGCTTATGAGCGTCTGAGTAGGTGGCACTTCAGAGCAAGCTGGATAATGCTTGGGCAGTGCAAATAGTTGTGCCAGTGGAAAAACATCAGGGGAAACACAGAAAGGAAAGCCAAGGCTCTACTCATTGCTCTCTCCCTGCAGGAAGCCCCGGTGACAGGGACTGAGGACCTGACCTATGCCAACCTGAAGTTTGAAAAGGAGACAAAACCTGCCTCCTCCAGCATCATTTACACCGAGATCAAGCCATCACAACAGAGTGGTGGGGATGCCAGTGCAGCCAGCACAGCAGTGGATGTCTTCCCCAGCAGAAAGGGCAAATGAGGGAGAAGGGAGGGTGAGCAGCTTGTACATCTGTTGGGGTTGTTCTCCCCAAATACTAGGTGTTAGCTCATACAGAAGTGCAATCTTGATGACCAAAGACCCCAATGGCTCCACCACTGTGCTGTATGTTCCCCTGGAAGAAGCCATGTCTCCTGACTCAACATGACAGGACTCTTGAGCTGCTTTTCCCCTTTCCTTCTGCAGCTCCAAGCACAGCCAAGCCTCAGCAACTGTTTTCACTGTCTCCAGTCACCGACAGGCTCCTCTAACAACTTGCTCCATGTTTCAGGAAGGTCCTCGTGCACTGTGTGGCCACCATGGTCCAGGAAGAACTTGGTGTTCCCTTGGTGCTGGACATGCTGGGTGGGGTGGCCATGTCCTGGAGCAGTTTTCTGGATTTTTCTCTGGAGCAGGCACCTGCTGTGACAGGGGTTGACCTTGCTCTGGTTCACTCACTTGAAACACAAGGGACAAATATGGAAAAGCATCACTTGCTTCATAGAAGTGCATTGTGGGTGCTGCTGCCATGATCCACATGGATCTGCTTTGCACTGGGAGTGGCTGAGTGTCCTCATGCATGTAAAGCTTTCCTGCACTTTGGAAAATTAAAAATTGAAAGGTCTCCTTCTGCCTGCAGAAAGGAAGCAAGATGGAGGATCTCCAGAATACCTCACTGTCCATTGTTCCTCAGGGGTTGTTTCCAAGCTATCCCTGGAGGGCCAGGGTATTTTTGGCTTAGAGCAGACACCATTCAGCTCCCACCCTATCCTCATGGAAAGGAGACCTGTTGCTTGCTCTTGGGTGGGATGTGCAGGCAGAAATCCTGCACCCTCCTGGTGGGGTGCTGGGGCAGAGTTCCAACAAGGATCAGAGGAGGGTCTGCGGGCCACCTTGTGTTTGACAGCTGGCTGAACATGAGCCAGCAATGTGCCCAGGTGGGCAAGAAGGCCAGCAGCATCCTGACTTGTACCAGCAACAGCAGGGCCAGCAGGACCAGGGTAGTGGCCACGCCCCTGTGCCTGGTGAGGCACCTCAAATCCTGTGTTCAGTTTTGGTCCCTCATGACAAGAAAAGTGCTGGAGCATGTCCAGAGAGGGGCGACAGAGCTGGGGAAGGGTCTGGAGCACAAGTCTGATGAGGAACAGCTGAAGGAGCTGGGGTTGCTTAACCAGAATATCCAGACAGTGACCTGTCACAAGCAGCCATGGTCAGTGGTCTGCAAAAGGCTCTGCATTTGCTCAACTACCTCAAAAAGAAGAGGAAGGAAAAGTGTGGTCCTTCATCAGAAAAGAGTTATGAACCAATGAAAGTTATGAACCAGAGAAAGCTGGGACAGTCATAGTGCTGCATCATAACCCCAAGGTTAGTGGGGGATCAGATCTGGGAGAGTGTTTTTAACAAGGAACCAGGCAAGAAGCCATGAAATAGCCTTGGAGCAGTTACACGAGTGAGCAAGAGGTGGGGAAACGCAGCCAGGGCTCTTGAGGAACTAGTGGAGGTAACATCTCAAGTGGAGGCAGGAAGGGTGGGGGCAGCATCTTTGGCCATTGGCTATTTTTAAAAAGGTGAAGCAGCTATGGCCAGAGCTGAGGCTCCAAATTTCACTTCTCAAAAAGTTGCTATCACAAGAAGCTAAGCAAGTGTGTGAAGATAAAGCAGTAATAAACCCAATGCCCTCCTTGCCCCAAACACCTCTGTATGGACAGAGGGCCCTCTTGTCTCTTTGTGTGCCCAAGGCAGGTGAGTGCTCACTGCAGAGGAAGCCTGACTCAGGCAGAGAAACAAAAGTAAAAGTCTGGGGAGAGACTTGGCCTCCACTGTGCTCCCTGCCTGCTGGAAAAGCAGCAGGAATCCACAACGGAAAGAACAGGGATATGACTTGGGTCATGATGTGAAAACCTGGCAAAGGGGAAAAACAGAAGACAAGGAGCAGAAGAGGAGGAATGGGAAAGGATGGGGATGGGTGAGGAGGACTCCAGTACACTTGGATGGCATAAAAAAGATGAGAGGCCAGGACAGAAGAGAGAAAACATAAGAAAATTAGGGAAAGAATAACAGAAAGAGAGAGCTGAAAGGAAATGGAGCAGGGAAAGAGGAGAGAACAGATTAGTCAGAAGAAGAGGAAGACACTGGGGGAGGAAAATGGCTCAGGCTGAGGAAGGCACTGACCTCTGTCTTGGAGGAGAAACAACAGGGAGGATGAGGCTGCCAATAGCCAGTGAGGGATGTGACTTACAACCACCAAAAAGGGGATGAGCAGATGCTTATCTTTGCAGTGCCATAAACCACTGCCTGAGGCAGTGGTATAGAGGGAATGTGCAGAGGAGGATGGATGATGCAATACCCCAAAAGAAATAAAGCCACCAAGCTCACTCAGTGCCACAGAGCAGGGTAGTTTTAGTCCTACCTGCTCTCAGCAGCCTCATTTGAGATGTGAGGTCAGTCCTGAACTCCCCACAGGCCACACCTGGCACTGTGTGTCCAACCCAGATCACCTGGAGAGAGGGTGGCTTTGGCTGCCTGGAGCACAGAGTTCAGAGGAGCAAGGAGCTGGTCAGCCACTGGGAGAAAAATCAGAGAAGCTTCACTGCAAATGGCTGAAGCTGCAGATTAAACTCTGCTGCAGGGTGTGTTTACAGTATCTGCTGAGACCCCCTAGGGAAGGGGGCTAAAAGGGTAAATACTCCTTGAAACCATCGTGACAGGATCATACTCCCACCCAGCACATGCTCCACTGCCACACTGTCACCCTTGGAGGGCCTCTGGCACAGCAAGAGCAAGTAAAGCTATTTAAAGAAAACAAGATTATACAGCCTTAACCATCACTGACTGAACTCAGCAGTAGCTGAAAGTGCTTCCAGCCTGTTGGAATTCCAGTTGAGTGAATCAGTGTAAAACAAAAGCTTCTGCTGCTGCTTCCTGCCTCTCTTATCTTATTTACTTCTGAAAGGAAAGCCTAGTTTAGGTTAAGGGCTGCCTTTATCGGGGACCTTTCATGTGAAGACAGAGTCATCTGATCTTCCTCTTCCAGTGAGACTAAGAAAAGGCAATAAAATCCCCAAAAGCCATAAGTGAGCAGAGGCTTTTGCCCATTTCCTTACATCACAAGATAGGAACAATAAGTCGTTTGGACAGGTGGTTTATCACAAGAGTCCTTGGGAGCTGTTCTTGCTGATGACAGAGGCAGGGACTGGGGAGGAGAGTGAGGAAGGGGCCTGGAAAAGCCGAGCTCTGGCATGAAGGGGCTTCAGTCCCAGCAGTGACAGCCTGGGGTGGTGCAAGTGTGAGTCCTAGAGCAACATCTGAATGGTCAGAAAGGAAAGTTTTAACAGTTTTCCTTAACATCTGTTCTTTCCATTATGTATCATGTATTCAAGTCAAGTTTTCAAAGGAACAATTTATGGAGAACTCCAAGAGGAAACCCAACATTTCAACAGTTCCAGAAATCACTGAGAGGCTGACTAGAAGGAGAGACACAGTTAGAATGCCACTAATACCAGCCTTAAAACAAAGGCTTTACTATTGGTCACTTTTATTTCAAGAACAGAACAGCCTTTCATCCCAGCCCCCTCCGTGAGTTTAGTGAGTAACTCAGGTAGCACAGAACAAGCAGTCACATCCTGAAGAGCAAGAGCTCCAACAAAGCAGTCCTCACTGAGACACTGGATGTGGGTTTTCCTCCTCTCCCACCCTGGGTGAGAAGAAAGCCCCGCACAAAACGTGAACAGCTCCTCCATCCCACACCTGTGGGATATTTCACTAACTTCTTACACAAATAAATAGTATCTCATGGAGAGGGAGCAGGTGTCGACCACAGATCATCTAGAAATTAAGTTATTGCTATGTTCTTATGTATTGGACACTGCAGGTAACTCACTTGGTAACCACCAAGAGAGGTGACAGTCTCAGACTGCCCTTGTGTTATCAGTTTGCATTGGACTGAAAGCTGTGGGAGGACAAGACAGATCTTGTTTCATCAGGTCCCTGCCGTAAGGGCAGGAGTTTTCTAGGTGGGACTAAATCTTTGTCATTTTGCTGTAAACAGGTGGGGGCAGGGACTCCCAAAACACTTGGAAATTCATCACGCCTGCCAGACTTTACCAAGAAGATCACACACACTTCTCAGAGTACATACTGCTAAGTATACTCCCTGCTCCTGACTTGCAACAGGAGCTGCTGAGCCACCTTCACGAGGTAAGGGGTTTCAGGTTTAAATTTCAAAGAGAGCAGGAGCCCAGTGTAACCCCAGGGAGCTGAGCCAGAGCTGCTGCATCACCAGGGAAAATCAGGGCAAATTAGAGCTGTACAACACGTGCATTGGGAAATCCGGGTCCTGCCACAGGCACACAAGGACAACCTGACACTTGATTCTGCTTCCCTCTGCTGGCGGGACACGCTGTGACAGCCAGGATAAGAGCAGCTAAACCAAGGTGTAACATGAAGTCTGGTACGTGAGTTGTCAGGTAGCCCAAGGCTGATTACAAGTGATGAGCTCACAGCAGTGTCAGTGCCCGCAGTGCCCCTCCCCACACGGAGTATTGGCCAGAGAGCATGAGTTTGAGAGGATGAGGAGGACTGCAGGAAGAACCTCAGAGTAATGGAAAGGCAGCAGAGTCCTTTGCAGGACATCCAGAGATGTCTTTGTTAGGCATCATGCAGCTGGTTCTCTTTCAGGACAATCTTCTCCCCAGGCTTGAAGGCAGGCATCCCCAGGTAAGGGCAGCTGGCACAGCGGAATGCATCCCCCAGATAGCACTGGAAAGGCAAAGAAAAGCACTGTCTGTAATCAGGGGCACTTTCAGGTGTCTTCCCCTGTGGTACCATTCCTCTAGCTCAAGAGATGAGTATGTTCTTTTCAGCATCGATCAGCACAGAGACCACTTCCCTTCTGCCCCCTTCTCAACACGACTGGTTGGCAGAGCTGTGCAGGGCACTGGGCTCACATGGAAGAAGTTGAGCCTCTGCCCCACCTAGTGTGCCCAGGCTGGGGCAGCCCACGACCACCATGAGGGCCCTGTGGGCTCCCACATGGAGATCCTCAAGCTCTGCAGAAGCTGCACAGGCAGCGTTTGGAAGCAGTGAGCCAGCTCAGGCAGCAGTCACCAGAGAACACAATTCTTACACAGAGATCACGTACTGCAAACTACAGTATAGGGACAAAAATCACTACTTACATTTCCACAGGCAGATTTGGGCTGTGAGCTCTTCTTCTCCTGTTCCAATTCTTCAGCCAAGCCACACGTGCTGTAGAAAAATAGAGAAGTCACCTGTATCTTTCTGCTTAAAGGTCATGAGTCATCAACACTTGTTCCAGCCCTGCTCACATGTGACAGCCCTCCCTCTGTCACACAACAGCTGACTCTGGGACTCACACTCCTCACTTTGTTCTTCAACACCACAGTACTTGCTGTGTGCTATTTCTGCTTGAAATCTAAGAAACTAGGGTTTCAGTCAAGCTGCAGGAACTTGTAGCCACCTTGTAGACGGCTGTTGATCATCGAGGTAATTTGTAGCAGTCACTGGTCAATCCTCATTGTATTTGGATTTACATTCCAATAATTAAGATAAGAAAGGACATGAACCAAGAGAATTAGGCTCTGAAGAACAGCAAATTGCCTAAAATCTTTTTAAAATCCCTCCAACTCAACAGGTTTAATGCTGCAGTTAAAAGGTTCACTGATATGCTAATTCCAGCACTGACCAGTTCTTGCAGGCTTTCTTTTTGCCCATTTCTTTGCAGGATGGAGCTCTGAGGGATGATGGATCTGGCTTTTTCAAATCCTCTGAATCCAAGAGCTCATCAGAGTCCAAAAGGTCCTGAAAACACACCATGGGAGACAAGAAGCAGGAAATGGATTTGTCAGTAGGGAATGACACTGCTGAGTTAGGTTCAAAGAAATGGTGCTATCTGTACACTGGCATTAAAGTGCTGCAGGTGTCCCCTCCTATCCCTGTCTCCTCTCCACCCTCTTCACACCACTGGTCTCTCCAGACCCCACAGAGTAGATGAGATAATTTGCCTTAGGGAGGCTTTTGTACCTCTTTAAGTTGTAAAGCTTCACAAGAGGCATGACTGAAACTATTTAGAATAGGAAAGAAGAGAGAAGGAACAACAGCAAAGCCTCACAAACAAAACCAGATACCATCTCTTCATCATTCATATCATTGGCAGAGAGTGTCCATAGCTTGGCAGCAGCTGGGTCCACAGAGGGTTTTCCTGGAGCCAAAACAAAGGAAGAAATAGCAGTTATTCCAGCCTTTGCCCCATCTACTCCCAACAGAGTTCAAGCCACTTTTGAAAGCCTCACTTCACAGGTTTTTATTCTAGCACTCCCTAGCTGGGAACTGTTTCCCTGTTCCAAGGGATGCCTGCCACTGAGAGCCAGGCAATCCAGACATTTAGCAAGCACCACTCCTTACCTGAAGGACCAGATTTCTTGGCAAAGGAAAGTTTGAGCTGACTTGAGGATCCCACTTCAAAATTGGGCTTCCTGCCTTCTATCTGAATAATGAGAAGGTCATTGCCCTGGTAACCCAGATGCTCTCGGACCGACTGGGCCTCCTCCGCGGTCAGTGCTTCCTTTTGCAGCTGCAATGTAAGATTTGAGGTTAACCTCATGCAGAACCCTGTATTTTAGCACCCAGTCCAGCATTCCAGTGAACAGACAATAGATATTTTCAATCCTGAAGAAAAACACTACCCTTGCAGCAACCAAAGTTTGTGCCAGGCAGTGTCCATGCACATTTACAGCAAACCAGGGTAGCTAAACACCTCACCCCAGGTAACTGCCCAAGGGCAGTGCTGGAAGTGGTCAGTACAAACGTACCTCCTTCACTTCCACCAAGCCAGAGAGAGTCAGAGCTGTGAGGAGCTTGGCTGCTGTCTTGATTTTGCCATTGTTTCCTGGAAGACACAAAATCAGAGAGCAGGAGGAGTGAAGAACCACAATAAAGG